AACCCACCCTATGAGCACACGATATCTGCTGCCACCGTAGCCAGCATCTCTGTTTGTAAGTTATAGCTTTGCTAACAAGGAAATTCTTTGCTAGCCCCCTTGACCAGAGATTTCACTTCTCAAAGTAAATATTGGGATTTTGAGGACAAAAGTGTCCAATCTTATTACATGACTGAATTAAAAGAACAACGCATGAATGCCATCAATGTAGAGGAACTCTCATGGGAAGGGCTTTGTGCTGACCTTGCCCAACTACTCCATGAATCCCATAGTAGACACCAATCACAGTTCTATTTCAACTATAAAGACTTAGTAACTCAATTAATAACAGTAACAATAATAATAATAATAGAAATAATAGTAGTAACATGAGCCATACAATAGAAATCGCATGGTTTCTGAATATTTAACACATTCTTTTTGTAATAAAACTTCCAGTAAAATAATACTGAATAAATAATTTGGCCCGTGGGGTACGTTCTGCCCTAATATAACAAACACTAATTAGATTGCCAAGAAAATAACATGACCTTATAAATAAATTCAGAAGCAAATTTTAGACTCTCGTAATTGATACTAAAGTTGTTGTTAGGTATTTTTTCAATTTATGGAATAAGAATCAAGAACATTGAGACCCTATGACAGCAGAAGGTGCTAGAATACTTCTGAAAAGTTAAATCATGGACTGAGATAAATGAGTTGGTAAGGCACATGCCTTGCAAGTATGAGAAACTGACTTCAATCCCCAGAACCCATGTTTAAAAAGAAATAAACTGGGGACTTATCATGCATGGGGGGGATTAAATTTTATTTGGAATCATTAGGTTTTTAGAATAGGACATTTCTTTACCATGTCAAGAGATAAAGTGGGGAAATATCTGCTTTAATAATTCTAGGGGAGAATTGTCTGCCATTTAACAGAAGATCTTTTAATACCTGACTGTACCACTAAAGCAACAAAAATTTAAAGAATAGAAAATCCATCAGTTCAGAATTTTAGCACTATCATGGGTTCAGCTCCAAAAGAGACTATTTTGTTCTTAATGGAAAACATTATCTTCAGTTATTTAGTGCAGTATTAGTAGAGAAATTACCTCTTACCTGCATAAATCAGCTTTAGTGGAATTGTCTCATCCTAAGTATGGGATAATTTTTAGAGATATCATAACCATGATTTGTGTTTTATTCTGGCTGAGTTTTTTTAATTTAATGTATTTTTTTTAGGTATGAGTGCTGTTGGCACATTTGTCTGCATGCCAGAAAAGGGCAAAGAGGGCATCAGATCCTATTATAGATAGTTGTGAGCCAGCATGTGGTTGCTGGGAATTGAACTCAGGACCTCTGGAAGAGCAGCCAGTGCTCTTAACCATTGAGCCATCTCTCCAGCCCCTGGCTGATATTTTTAATTAAGTTCCAGGAAACCCACAGTTGAATCAGGCAACCTGGATTTGAAGGATTAAAAAAAAAAAAAGAAAGCACTGACTTTACTTGATATTTCAATCGCTCAGTGTAAGTAAATTGATTAGACACAAATAACTTTGTTCTGAGTAGTTCTTTCTGGGTTCATCCCTGAACTTCATTTTGCCTAAAATGACAAAAATGGAAAAAACAACAGTCTAGACACTTGTAGGTGAATTCAGCAGAATGTAGCTGTCCCATGTTGATATCCCTTATCTCCTGCTGACCTCGAGGTGGTGCTGACTTTGGGTTCTATGAGCATAACTCTGTAGATGGATAGGTGTTGGATTGTGCATTGATTCTGTTTCTCTATCTGGAGTCATCTATATCCTATGGTGCCTCCCGTCTGGGGCACACAGTGGTGTGATGGTTGGTGGCTAGACCACTTCGCACTACTGTACTCTCTCAGCCTCACCTCACTGTTGAGCATCCTTGGATGCAGCCATATCTCTTCCATGCTAACCCTTTGTATATGTCACCTGCTTCCTAGTCAAGTAAACCCTCTGTAATTCTTGTCTGTAGCTCTTCTTCTCCTTCACACTTCAGCCCGTAGAAGCCCCCAGGGCTACCCCTGGTGACACTGGGGTCACAGAAGCCTTCATGCTTCATAGATGCCTCCAGGATGGGACTGAAAACTTCACTAGTTAGTTCTTGGCCTCTTCTATAGTCCAATAAGGGAAGTCATTCATTGACTCTCCATTCTGCCATCATTGTTGAGGGCGAGGGAGAAAGTAACACCACCGCACCCTCCCACATGAACAACTTCTCCCTAGATACTCCAGGGTTGTCGTGACAGCTCACAAAGTACTGTTGCATCTTGTACTTCTTGTAATGCCCCACACATTAGTTTAGGGACTCTGTGTGAACTCTGAAAAGTGAACAAATTGTTTTCGGCTTCTTCTAATCCCCTTTCAATATATCCAAGCTTTTACCTGGGGTTGTGGGCTAGCCTTAAAAACAACCATATGTTTTTTCTTCTCTGTTCCATTATAACAACATCTCATGGAGCCAAACAATGGCCCAGTTCTGTCCAGGAGAAAAAGGAAGAATGCAGTGTTTCCTGTCTGAAGTATCATCTCATTCCATGTAAACAAAAGTGACCCTCTTTTGACATAAACAAGATATTCCAGTTACATGTGGCTTTTGTGTTGGCCTTAGTGAATCAGGACAGCCGTTCCCAAGAATAGATTTAAGTGCCCAGTGGGCCAATTTATAGTACTTAACTATCTTTTACTCAGGAGTTTAGAGGCAAGTTAAATGGATCATTGGCAACCAAAAATAATAAAATGAAAACCAACATGAATTGATTACCTTATAAGTTCTATGAACTGCGGTGAAGATGTTCATAATCGAAGCCGTCCTTCAGAGGGACAAGGGAGAGTGGATGTCAAGCACACTGACTCAGAGATAGAGCTTCATGAGTTCAAGACCAGGTTGAGAACTCCCAGGCTGCATCAGGACGTACTTGTCTTGTCTCACCTGTAAAATGGGACTAGTGATGGCACCTGCTTTACAGAGTTGAGGATTAAATGAGTTCAAACATACAAAGAAGTTAGAACGTTTCTGGTAAGTGTGTTGTTAGATGTGAACTAGAATGCCCTGAGGGAACTTGCCCTCCTGAGCCATCTTTGGGAACTCACCACATCAGGGACAATTTGAACCTGGCATCCTGTTCGGCTCTTGTGCCTGGTCCTCGTGTTCTTTCTTCCTCTTTCTCCTCCGTTCTTGCTTTTCCCTCTTTCTCTGCTGTTTCTTTGACAATCCCGAGCATCTTATCTTGATCGTGGGTCACTCTTCTCAGTGGTGTCCTGGTCACACCTGGTTTGTCTCCCCGCTTTGTGCTGCCCTGCTCAGTGCCTACTACCCTCAGTCTGTTGACAAAATGTCAGGGTTGAGTCAGGTAATTTACCCCCGATCAGGATGAGTTATGTACACCTTCCTCTATTGTCTGCTTCCTTCGGTGACACCGTACTTTCCAATTAAAGCTTTTGGCAGCTCATACACCTTTCAGACCACCACTGGGCTTAAAGAGAAGCAGCCCCATTCTCTCCTGGAACACTGTGCGAGCCCCATGCATCTATACTACTCGCACCTGGGAAGCATTCCACAGTTCCCAGACTTCTTTATCGACATCATGCCTTCTGTTCTTTTAACTCCTTACTGGGCGACTCATAGATTTCCAGCCCACTCCCTGGACTTCTTGGCTAATGGCCTAAGAACATGGCAACCTCCTATCTTGGAAAGTCTAGAAAAACTCATGTAAATTTCCAGCACCTTTTGAATATGTCTACGGCAGGCTATAGACTATGGTGATATGAGAAGACACACACACACACACACAAAACACACACACTACAAAACACAAAAGGTTCCAAAAAACAAAAGAAGAAGGTTCTGCTCTTGGGTCACCTGCATGTCAAATCCATTCCAGGCTGTCACTTTTCATATCATAAAATACATATCTGGAACTCATACGTATTGGAAGCCTACAGGGTTTTTGTTGTTGTTTTTTTTTTTTTTTTTTTTTTTTTTTGGTTCAGTTTTGTTTTGTTTCCTCTCAAGTTCTTGTCAGAGTTAAATGGATTCTCTTCATTATCCACTTACCAGACTATCTTTCCATCCATCCTCAGGGAGGTGAGTGTAGTACTGGACCTTCCAAGAAAACCATAACTGTCTCATTTGGGGACATTAGATACGGTAGTGTGGAAGATAAAGTGGCAGCAGCAAAGAGAGAGTATGATATCTTCAGCCAAAGGAGAAGCAGATTCAGGGACAGGGTATCTCTTGTGATGAGATTATTTAATGTTTTATGTTTAAATGTCCCTGTTGATAAAGTGATGATGCTGGTCTTCCTGTGTTTTGAGGAATTAGAAGAGACCTCAGCTGTGTAAACCAAGAGCATAGGCTTGGTAGTGGAAAGAGAGCCATTTCTAAGGCCTGTGCTTAGGATGCCAGGAACTGTTTACAATGGTCTTTCAGGACAAAAGTATCCAAGTATTCTTTATTATTAATGTGCACTTTTTAATTCCTCCATGTTGACCCAAAGTCTGAATCTCTCTGAACTCCAAGTTCTCTCCTTAATTTTATAGAAGAGGCCAACCATAAGCGGCTGCGTAAGCTTAAGCTTCAGTCTTTTCTGGGTTGGGTGCTAGACACGCAACTAAAGAAAGCAATGAATGTGTCTAGGGGAGGCCATGTTTCTTTGTGGGGGGCAAACGCACACATGGAAGTGGGCACTTCCTCTCTGGAAAATGGTGTCAGAGCCACACAACGTAATCTAGCTTAGTGATTTCTAAACCTTGGTGTTTCTCCACTGTCAACTGGACTCCTGAATAGTGTTTCTTTTGCTTCTGTACATGGGGCTGTTGGGTAGGCTGAGCGGCGCCATGGTGAGTTGTATCTGTGTGCCTTCGCCTCAGGCACAAAGGGGAAAGAAGAGAATCATGCGATATTGAATGATGGTGATGAAAACAATGTGAATGTGACTTCTAACGTAGGATGGGATGAAGTTGTTTGTTTTTTTAATCTCATATTTCATGCAGGGCTGGGCTGAGGATGTGGCAGGCATGGCGTATGCCCTACGTTCACTGCCAGAGGGGGCTCCCTGCCTGCCACAGGTGAGAGCCAGCTCTGGGGTGCCTGTCCCTATGGGGGATTGGGGGGCTGGAGTGGGCCTGGTGGGGGAGGGGTGGGGAAGAACTGGTTCCCTCAGAATCTGAATCCTCTTTCCTGAATGTATTTTTTCCAGATCATAAATGGAATTGCAACCAATCAAACCCTTACAATCAGTTTTTCTCACAGCTGTCTTTGGAACAGTATGGAACAATATAAAACATGCATTCATGTCTACAAAGCTCAGGCTACCTGCATTTTGTTAAATGACTGAGTCCAGGGGCTTTATCTGCCCAGCAATACCTCTTCATTCAACAGGAAGTATCAGATCTGTTCCATAAGGGCACCAACCCCAAACCAAAACAAATTATGTCTTTAAAAAAATAGGACATTGACTGATAGCCCTGGAAATAATACATTTGTATCTTAATGTTCTTATTTCAAAAAGTGTTATCATTTTCACTCTTGCTTCTCAATGTCATATTTTCCTCTTCCCAGTACTATATTCCTTTTTTCTACTAATTTCTTCTCTATTGTTGAACAAAGGGCCTCTTCCTTTGCATGCATGGCAGTTGATCTCTACGGGCCACCTCAGAGCTCTCTTTACAAAGGCCACCCATATCCAACCCACACCACTTCCTGCATATTGGTGGTTCTTTTTTTTTTTTTTTTAATTATTTCTCTAATATCAGTGGTCAGCTCTGCCCACCCCAAACCTCCACATCCTATAGCATCACGGGTGTGCATCCTGGAGGTGGCATCTAGCCCTGAGTGCTGAGAACACTGTCACAAGAAAACGGAGTGGTGGTCCAAGGAGTGACCCTGGAACCTTTATCTTAGGTTCGGAGGGGGAAAGCAGACACCGTCCAGTGCATGTCTAACGTGTTCAGCCTGTTCTGCAGCTAGGTCATGGCAAGCCAACCTTTTCGGCTCCTGCACACAGCCGCCTGACAATCCGCAGAGCTGTTGGCTTTCTGGGGCTTCTCACCCCTCTTTCTAATCTCCTTTGCTTTCCCTCTTTTGGCAGTGGTCCGTATATATCCGAGCCGCTGTCCGGAAAGAGAAAGGCCTGCCCATCCTTGTGGAGCTCCTTCGAATAGACAACGACCGTGTAGTGTGTGCAGTGGCCACGGCACTCCGGAACATGGCCTTGGATGTCAGAAATAAGGAGCTCATCGGTATGTTCTCTAACTCGGTGTCCCTGTTTTTTTTTTTTTTTTTGCGCAAGTGTGTGCGTGTATGGCTGAATTCCTCTTGAGAGCATATGCATGTGGGGACGGTGTGTTTGTTAGGAGCTGTGTGTTTTCCAGCTTTCCTGCTTTAATCAATGCACTGGTTGGTCCTTGAGAACTTGAAGGAGAATATGGTTTCCAGTCTTTGCAAATGGAAAGCGAACCTTGTGCTTCGTGTTTAATCCTTTCGTCCCAATGCGCTGAAGCTCTGCTGTGCTGTTGGTGTGCTTCCTACATGGTAGAATTAGGAAGCCTGATAGGGTACCTGCTCCTTCCTCCCACTCTCTAGTTGTATTCATTTATATGTTTGGTTATCTATTCCTGTATTATTTATCTATTTTCACCATACTTAAAATGAAAGAATCTCCCCTAAGAAATATCAAAGATCTTCTATTAAGGGGGCATTAAAGAGGTAATATATGTATGTGCCTCTTCTACAAATGATTCTTCATTTCCTATCAGTTCCAGGACTGCTCTAGGTCCAGGGAGTTATACCAATGAGTGAAACAGACAATAACCAAGACAAATAAATGAATCACATGCTGCCTAGAAGTGTTCTTTGGGGGAGGTGGTAAAGGAGGCTTTCATTGGTGAGCTTGAAATTTTTTTTCATTTGAGTTTATATTTTCATAACTGCTTAACCATTTTAAAATGTTCAATTCCATGGCATTTGGTGTATTTCCAATGCCATATAATTGCCACCTCTGTTTCCAAAACATTTTTGTCATCCCAAAAGAAACCTGTATCCATTAAGCAGATTCTCTTCCTCCTACTCTGGGGGCCACCAAGCTGCTCCATCTCAGTGGACTCCCCTGATCTGGACACCCCTTATGTGTAGATTCATGGAATGTGTGAGCTTATGTGTCTTGTGTATAATTCCTGGAATGGCTGTCGGCTGTTTTATTATGCATTAATAAATTATAATTGTCTAATTAGCACACAAAGTGATATTAGCACACACAAAATGTGGAATAGTCAAATCAAGTTACACTTAACATAGTACCTCACAAGCTTTGTCAAGGTCTCCACATATAGCTCATGCTGCCCTTGGGTGCGTTGAATAGCCAAGGCTGGCCTTGAAGTTATAAACACTCTGCCTTGACCTCCCTAAGTGCTAAGATTATAGTCCTGAACCACCATGCTGGAATCAATATTTATTTGAAATGTTACTCAGTAATTAAAAATTCTTTTAAAATCTCGGCTTTCTTTTAATTGTGACTTTGACCAATATCAACTTATCTCTCCCAGCTGGCAGCCTCCGGTAACCAACCTTCTTCTCTTGCTTCAAAGAGTTAATTCGTTTTATACTCTACATTTATATTTCCCTTGCCATGAATGCCCCCCAGTTCCATCCATGTTGTCACAAATGTCATCATTTCCTTTTAGTTTAAGTCTGAGCAACAGTCTATTGGGTACCCCACCTCCTTTATAATCTCAGCCATTGATGAGCACAGGGTGTGGATATGTGCCCAGAAAATGAACTTTTCTGGATCATATGGAAATTCTATTTTCAGTTTTTTAATGTAACTTCCACAACATTTTCCGTGATGTCTGCACTGATTTACAATCCCATCGTTGAAACACAAAGAAAGGTTCCCTCTTCGCCACGCTTACCTTCATCTATAAAAGCTATTTTGACAGGTGTGAGGTGATGCCTCCTGTGGCTTAATTTGCATTTCACTAATGATCAGTAATGTTGAGTATTTTCTCAGCTATCTCTTGGTCATCTGTACGTCTCCTTATGAGACATATCTAGTCATATTCTTTGCTCAATTTTAAAATGAGCTGTTTTCTTGCTATTGGGTTTGACTTTGTGTGTGCTTTGGTATTAACCTCATGTCGGGTTTAGGCCTTGAAACATTGAATGTCAACCCCCAGGTGCTGATCTTCTGCTGCTGTCAGTCATCCACATCCTTAGCAGAACTTTTTTTAGTTTGATGCAATCCCGAGTGTATGTTTTGAGTTTTCTCACTGAGCTTTTGGGGTCAGATCTGTAAAAAACTAATGCCCAGACCAGTGATTGTGTCGCTTTCCCCCATACATTTTCTTTAAAACGTTGTGCAATTTCACACTTAACTATGTAATATATCTTGAGTTTAGTTTTACACATCGGCTGAGATAAAGGTTCATTTTCCTTCTCCTGTACGCAGCCTTTCCACTTTAAGGTGTGGTTTTCAATGAGGTTAAGCTGGGAGTGGTTGTAAGGAACGCTTTCAGTGAAGGCCTAAAGGAAGGTGGCTATGCAGATATGGAGAGGGAAGGAATCTAAGCTGAAGGGGCAGCCTCTGCAGACCATGCCCTGGGATGGGAGCTGGGAGCAAGTCAATGGGTTTGGAGCCTTCAAGAGGCTTCGTTTGTCTAGCAGGGCAAGTAGTGGGCTCCTAGAGCAGAGAGGCCTTCCTCTGCCTCTCCGTAAGGGGGAAGGTACAGGACAGAGGCCAGCTGATACCTGGAAACTGAAGACTCGGCAGGAACCCACACAGAAATGGCGCAAGCTCCCGTGACACTGGAATTAGGGAGATGTCAGAGTTCCTTGTGGGCTTCCTGTGTGACTCCTGGACAGTGGGCAGGCTCCCATCCGGTAGCAATGCAGCAGGTGAGGGTTATCAGGAGGTGGGATCCGGGATCTAAGCAGCAGGGAGCTGGGCCAACCACAGCAGCTAAGGTGCAGCTTACTGCACCTTACCTGGCAAATTCGGAAAAGTGAGATATAAGTGAGCAAACTCTATCACTAGACAGTTGAAGAACTAGGCATGATGTGCTGAATAAACTGTTAGTAATCCAGGAACCTGACACCTTTCCTCTGCCATTTCCCAGTGCACATCAGAGCCTCCACTCAGAACCAAAGTATTTGCAGGTTTTTAGCCATTCATTTCCTAAGAATAAAATCAGACTTTAGGTCAGTCTCTTTTCTCTCTCTCTCTCTCTCTCTCTCTCTCTCTCTCTCTCTCTCTCTCTCTCTCTCTCGTCATTGTCTATCTTCCTAACAATATATTATACAGAAGGACATAAACTTGCAAATTTGGTATTTGTTCTTAGTTTTGGCTTAATTTTAGTATTTGCAGATTCAGTGTGCTTTGTATATTTAAAATAAGCTAGTAGATCAAAGGGTCAGAAAGCCCTCTGCATATACACGTTTCCTTTCCTTAAATAGTTATTTCAGACAGGACCAGCAATGGGCCTTCCAATAAAAGCCTCATAGCTTCTCTATAACATAGAGGAAAAAATCAATAGCTAATCAGTCTACTGCCTGGATGCTAAGTACCAGGTATTGTGCGCTTGTGTGCTTTATGTCTTTTGGTGGATTAATATATAACAAAATCGTGAGCTATCGATTGGCCTTCTAGCTCCTAGGCATCTCTTCTTTCTCTGAAGCCAGTTATCCAGTGGTCCATCTGAGCTTGGAGCACCTCAAGCTCCACATTGTCCATTAAGTTGTTACTATCAGATGTCACCAAGTAGGAAATGGAGGCAGCCATTCAGAAACAAAGCTAGAAACACTGAAGCCACGGGCTTTATGAAAGCAGTAAGGTTTTTTTTTTTATGACAAGAATAGAATTTAGCAAAGTGTTGACATTCTTTTTAGGAGAAAGCACACATTACTCTTGTCCGACCAGTTGACTCTAAACATTGTATCAAAGTGATTGTTTGTATCGAGAAATGATAGACAGGACATTATACATTGAGGAGAAACGATGACTTTGAACCAAGGACAACAACAGCAACAAAGAAAGACAAGTGTGGCCTTCTTGTCCTTTCTGTCAACTCACTCTGAAAGTTTTGGTGACCTTGTCTGGGGTCATAACCTTGAAAGATCCTCTTTCTGCAGGTGTCCACACACTGCCCTCACCTCAGCAAACACCACCTTCCCAAGAAGAGCTTTGCTGTAAACCATCCATGGACCCACCCTACCCCCTTCCCTGATTGATTTTTAAAAGAGATGATCCCTATTTAAGATGGCTCCGACTTAGAGCCTTTCAACTTCATGATAACATGCACTCAGAAGAAACTGCTTTGAATTTTTGAAATCTCATTGTGTCTCATGCTAGTGATTTGTCGTGCAGTGTTCTTCTTCAACACTGGGCAGTAGCATTAAGTGACAACTCCCAGTCAGCTGTGGAATCATGGGGGAAGGAACTCAGGTTCTGCCGTGCACTGTATTGCTAAGCTCTGGCGTTCAGTAAGTTAGGTGTATGAACTGCATAGGCTGACAACATCCTCAACTTATAATGGTGTGTTGTAACATAACCCCAACACGATGACACTCTCTCTGTGTGACATTACTTACTAGTCTTGTTTCTTTCCCCTCCACTGGGACACTAGCTAATAAGGAGCCAATGCCTTGTCTTATTTTCTAATATATTCTATGTGAATGGAACTGTATGTGACCCCCCAGCAGGGATTTGATAAATATTTGCTGAATGGATAGCTGAGATAGATTTTTTTTCCTATCCAACTATCATCTTATACTCTATATCAGAAAAAAAACCATTAAGTAAACAAATTAAAGAAAACATCAACCAAAGAAAAGGATTTCATGTCGATGAACAACCAGAAAGTCAGTTCACTTTCTCCTTAGCTGTTCCAGATGCATGCAGGCACTTAGAATTTCAGAAGAAAACCAGATTTTCACTGGTTCGGAGGTTTCAGTTTAAATTACAACTCTCTTGGACTATTCTCTTAATTGGTGTGAGAGTGGGCGGCCAGCCACCCTTGTACTTGAGGGATAGATCATCTTCAGAGGACTCCATTATCATGAAGCTGTTGAGTAAGCAGTGGTCACATTACCCTATTACATCTACTGAGAAGCAAATAGTATCACACTCAGGAGCCTAGCTGCCTCCACTCTACTGATCGTCTCATTGGGCTGTTTCCATGGTTATGTGTACATCTCTGCAACCTGAAAAGTATGCTATAGATGGATCCTGAATTCTTCTTAATGACAT